TTCTTCCATTTCTTTTAAGTTCGGTCGTGATGAGATTTGTAGGAAATGATATTGTTATTCATGCCGGCACGAGATTATTCAAAATTTAAATTTCAATAAAAGTAATACAAAACAAAAAAAACTATTTCAGCAAATTTTTGATGAATAAGAGAAACAGTTCGTTTACAGGCATTAGTCATTCAATCACCCAAAACATTAATGTTTCTCACTCATATTGCTTACGGTTGTTTACTGACCGCAAAACGTGATAAATCAGCAAAAATAAATATTAACAAAAAGAATTTGCATGAATTTCAGGCATAATCAGAGTCATATTGTGGCAAAGGAGACACCTCACTATGCGGTTTTCTAAAATGATACTTTAAATGTCCAAATTTGGGTAAGTTGAGTATACAAAAATCGTGGAATGAAAAATGAATTCAGATTAATTTCAGGTAGAAAGTTTTGGAGACTTATTTAAGTATTCATGACATGAGAGAAGCAATTGGTTAACCATTTTAACAAATAAAAGGAATGAGGGAAACTCAATCATTGTGGGATAATACTCATGTGCCCTAGACTTCATTTCCTCTTCTCATTATTCTACAATCAATCATACATACAAAAAATAAAGAGAGTACGAGTCACAGCCATATGCAATTTATCATGTCATAAACATTTTTTTTGATGCATAAAGTTCTTTATTTCTGTGTATGGATAGAGTCGAACAAAAATAATGCACCTAGTGAGTTAAGTGACTTCTTACTATTTTCCATATATGCCTTTATGAGTCACAAGAATGTGCAATGTTTATGACATGAACAGAAATATATAGCAGAAGCCAGTTTCAACATCTGGTCGTCTCATCACTTCCAATTACATTTCGTTTTCATAACTATATAAATGAGATAAAATATATACACAATATATTTTTTATTTTATTTATTAAAAGCATGTGCAAATGATTAAGCCAGAATGCAAGCGTCAAGACACAAGCGTCTTTCTTTGTTTCGTTTGTAGTCAAACTGCATTTATGTGTCATTTATAATTGCATTCTTTTATCGTCATAGCATCAGCACGTTTTTTTCTATCGCATATTTGCATAGGCTAGGCTTGCCACGTCCAAATCATTGTATATTTTCATGATACAGACTTAAACGATCCGTAAAATTCTTTTTGCTATAAACATTTTTCATTTCCACAAATATTCGAATGTTTACTTCTGTTAGAAATTGAATTTATTGAACAGGTCATACGATAGGAAGAAGAAAAGCTCTACTTTGTAGCCAATAATGCATCAGATGTTAAATTTAGAAAACTTTTTATTTAAAGCTGGTTTTTGAGGTCGATAGGATGTGTAGCTATCAGAATCGCAATAGCTACTCTTATGATTTGTAACAGACTTAGCAGAAGAACTTAAGAAAACTAGAAATTGAATTAAAACTTGTCAAATTGATCGATTCCAGGAACAACAATTATTCTATTCGACATACTTCCCATGAATATAAAGTTTCAAATTAAATGAAGCATTTCCAATTTATTTTTATTGTTTAATTTCCTCGAAAACCGAATGACAAATGTCAATTCCGCGACTGTAATTTTTTACAGGAAAAAAATACGTTATCATATTCACAATTTATCAAAAATTCATGGATTAACATCTGTTGTTTTGAAGATACCAATTTTTATAGCCTTGAACTTGGAAAGCGTGTCAAAACTTCTTGGCAAATATTATTGAATTCTTGAAATTTTTTCACAGATACACGAAGAAACCACAAATGAAGCTTAGCCACACATCTTTAAAATCTTCCACAAAATAGCGGTTAGAAATATTCATCTACAGCATTTCTCGCCGTCACTTAATCAACAAAATTGCTATGAATAATAAAATTACTCAAATAGCTTTCCCAATATCACACGTTGGCATTTATTGATGAATCATGTAATAATATTCATACATTACTTCTTTTTCACCATCAATTTCGCTCATTAATCGATCAATAAAGTTTCGAATTATTAAGACAACGAAATGATTTCTTTTCTTCAAGTTAATCTCAACAATAGGATTAATAAGAGAGATGAAAGTGAAGACTTTGCTGCTTTATGTCATAAATTTATGTGTAGATACAAATTACAGGCAGTTTCGACTCGTGCAGTCATCGCCAGTTTTAAAAATAATCTCCAGAAAGAAAAATCATCGCAAGTTCATAAAAAAATTTATTATTAATATGTTTATCATGGGCGTGTGTGTTCTGTGATAACACTTCTGATATTTTCGGCAAATCCTATGAAATTTAGTATTCTATATCCACATCCATTGACCCTCATTTGGTGCTACAATATACAAAAATTTCAAATCTTCTTGGAGAAAATCACGATAAGTTCAAGGCAAACAACATTCCATAAACATGAGCACTTTCTGCCAAATTGTATTACATGAGATATTTCTCGATAGTTTCGACTTAAATCATCATTATAAATTTTACAGACACCAAAATACTTGTTTACAAAACATTCAGCTCTTTCCCAGCCACTAAATTGCGACTCGATTAAATTGAAAAAAAGAATAACAATTCAACTTGTGTTAGTGGAACTGCAAAGCTGAATAGCAAAGAAAGACGGAGAATTTTTTTTCTGTAGAATGCAATAAAAAAATCATTTTTGAAATTGATAAACGATAAGAAATGGAGCGAAAATTGATAATGATAAATAATTTTAGCTTCATGATTTAAATTTTATTATTTTTTTTCGTGTGCTGTGCTGGAAAGCATAAGGCACAAAATTATTATGAGTAATCATAATAAGAAGAAGGCACTATATTGTCGAGTTCTGCAACTATCAATTTTTTTCAAAAAAAAAGAAAAATATGTAAATACAAATGCACAATGAAGCAGACATAAAATTGAGGATCGAAATGACTTGACATCCGTTGTAGATAAAATTTATTTAAAAATTGTCATCACGAAGTTGGGAATTTTCGTTTAATGTGCGTGTAGAATAGTCATTGAACTATTTGATGACTCATAGGTAAATTTATGCTGCACTTGTGTCTTATGTCTGCTGATTTTTATACTAGACTTCAATTTTGGGAGTGCCTTTCTACTAAGAAAGTTTTATCACAATCTTATCAGAATTAACAAGGATTATGGTCTTTAAAATGTTTTGAATTTACGTGATATTAAGACTTTACTAGTCATTTACTACGCAGACGACATACATAAAATCAAGTCATAAATGAAATGAAAAGTGTAAACCATGCTTTGTCGCCAACAACTAAGAATCTAAGGAATTTATTCAGCATTTAATGAACTTCAAAGGTTTCTTACAAAGTAGCACATGTCGCAACTATTCAATTTTCCTCTTTTTTCCCATTCACCGTTCAATTTTGTAGGAAGTGCTTTTATTTTTGGATTACGCAAATTATAATTATGGAAAAAAAGTTGTTTATTTAATAAAAAAGGGTCGCAAAAACTTCATTACTCATTTGCGAGACCCTTTTATGCCTTCAACTCGATCATTAATCCCTTATTTCATCCACACACATTTGCAAGTAATTCATGATTCATTCTTCTGTCCTTTATTGTTGCAAAAAGTATGAACTCAAAAGTAGCGTGACGTTCATTTTGGTAAGGCTGTCTGATAGTTATTCAAACTGTAAATTTGTGCGCTTCCAATTGTGTAAAATTTTGCATTCATTTAATTTTTGGAAAAATAAAATAAAATTGGACGTGTGCTTCTCGACCCCATAATGGCTTGAAAAAGAAGAACAAGAAATGAATTCAATTCAAGTGAAAAGTTGCGTGGTTGCACTTGGATGTGTCTCTTGTGTATGAAATGAGTAGTAAAAGAGGAGAAAGAAGAAATGAAAGGAAAAGATGGAGTCGTGAAGACGAAGAGAATTCAAAAAGTAAGAACGTCCAATATTTTAAATTATTTGCCGGCATTCTTGTATGTGTGTATATGAATCTTGAGCTGGCAAAATAGAATTTTCGTTCCTTCTTAATCCATTTTTTTAAATGAATTAATTATAAAATATTAAGCATATCTTTTAAAAAGACTAACGTTGCGTGTATGTACAGAATTTAAGCACAATTATAATTATGAGAATATAGTTTTTTGAGGAAGAGTTTTATGGTCCAAAAAAATAAAAGGTGTAAAAAATTATCAAGAATCTTGAAATTTTGCCAATTATCTTCTTCATCCTTTTGGATTAAAAAGATGGAATCAGATTATTATTAATAGAATATGTGCATGCTTTATGATTAATATTTTTACAAGCTATAACAAAATATATACCAATTTTGTTGCCAACAAAAATGACTTTTTTTTCAACAAGTCTGAGTCATAAAAAAAATTGTAAGCTCATTTTTATCACTTTATATGACGAATAATTAATGTTGGAACAAAGAAAGGCTTTTGATAAAAGCTACACATGTGTGATTAAGAACAATGAAATGCTTTCGCTTAATAAATAACAAAATATAATGAGTTTGGATTGGTTCAATGACCGTAAATATTCTTCTTGGATGCTACTTGATTCCTATAATGCTCATTAACACAAAATGTACATTTTTCGCATATTTCAAAGTTATAAAATATTTATTTGAGGCATGTAGGCGTACAGAATCATTAATATGTGCAAAAACTCTCGAGACTGTCTCTTATTGGAATTGGATAAAATAAAATTGTTGTTGTTTCTTGCCGGCATTATTATGATAAATATTTGATTTAAAAATGTATTTAATTTGTGTATAAACTCACCTAGTTTTATCCAATATAATTGTTCTTTAGATTTCACAGAAACACTTCCACAATTTTACTTGATGATTAATGACGGATTGGTTAATTAAATTTGTTAATAAAATTCCTTGATGAACTATTCACTTCAACAGACAAAACTTGAATGAATTTACAGCTAAAATTTCAAGTGAAATCGACATAAGATCTACCAAAAATCGATGCACAAAATAACGGTAAATAAATATTTGAATTCATTTTTGCATCCTTTATTAGTAGAACTCTTTGGAGCAGACAACTTTTTCGTTCTTTTTCTGCTTCAATTTTTCGAAGAAACATTTGAAAAATTAAAAATAATTAAAAATAATGGATAAGCCAGTTGTATTAGCTCGCGTGATCAAAGTTCTAGGACGTACAGGATCACAAGGTCAATGTACACAAGTTAAGGTTGAATTCCTTAACGATCCAACCCGTGCTATCATCAGAAATGTGAAAGGACCAGTTCGTGAAGGCGATATTCTCACATTACTCGAGTCTGAACGTGAAGCCAGAAGATTAAGATAAATTGCATATTCATGCATTCATCTGTATCTTTAAAAAGTAAGGAAATTGACATATAATTCATTGATTTTAGTATTTAATTAATTTTGTTTTGTTTCATTATTTTCTAGGTTATGGCAACATCCAGAAAACATCCAAAAACCAATAAATTCAATATTCCAACTTGATTGTTATTATGGATTGAATTCAATAAAGTGAATTCGACTTGAGATAAAACATTGTGTTTATATCAACAGTGATCGTGTTTATTAATTTCCAGAAATTTCATTTTAAAAAATTAAGTTCCAGAGCTGGATGTGCTGGAAAAAAGAAATTATAAGACATGAAAGTTTGTGCCAAAAATAACTGAGAACATTTTATTAACAGTCAATTATTGTCTCATGCTATAAAAGTCTATGATTCATTTAATACTGCTAGCCAAACCAGTGAGCAGCCATACAATCTCTCGTCCATTCAGTTTGACAGATCCAACACCATTCAAAATTACATCCAGCTCTTGTGCATGCCTAAAAAAACATTAAAATCATAAGTTTTGAATCTAGATTGAATATACAATAATTACCATATGCATGCAGCCACCTGCTCGTTCTGTAGCTGTTCTGCATTTTGGACATGGCTTAGTTGTCACTTGAATGGCAATTTTCGATGCTTCGTCCCATCTTGCACCAGCTACTCGACTAGGGTTGACAGAAAATTCGGATACAGACATGTTATTTGATATTGCTGATTCAGGCAAGCAGTCACCAATATGATATCCTTGCTTACAGATTTTACAGAATACAAACTGGAAAAGTATACAATTTTAATAGAAACTGACTAGAATTAAGTTAATTAAAACTTACATTACATCCATTTTGGCAATGAACGCGATTACAATTCTCATCAACCAATATTCCCATTCCACAATTTGGCTGTGGACATAAAACTCCTCCCGATTGAAGAACAAACTCTTCAGCACCAAATTGCTGATATCTATCGTAATAATCTTTTTCCAACAGCTTAAAATGATGAATCTCTTGTATAAATGAATTCTCACAATTTACGGGACATGCAAGCGTATATCCAAATTCTCTATGTGATATAAATTGTCGTTCTTGAAGTCTTGATATGCAATAGAGTTTAAAACAATCTAGACAACTTGTGTGACCAGCAACACAAGGAAAGACTAGAACTGGATCAGAAATATCGCCACAAGCAAGACATGGAACTTTCTTTAAATTCATCTTAATTAATGTCAATGGTGCTGCATAATCTTTTTCTCCGCCTGATCCATGCTCAGCACATTTGAAATAAAACTCAGCAAACGGAAGTCCATTTTCTTCGTCTGACATGCAAGCTATTTCTTTGCTTTCGCAATGACCTTGAATTTTTTTTGGAACTAAAACATCATCCCAACATTCTGGATCTCTGTGTACTGTAAAACAGCCTCCTTTACAAATATTACAACGAACTCGCAATTTCCCTCTACAAAGCTGTACAAATATCTTTTAAGTTTCTTAATGATCCAGTGAGATCCAGTAAACTTACCTTCTTGCATTCTGGACAATGAACAAAGAAATGAGCTTTTGCCTTAATATTGCTTTCAGAATCTCTTCTTTCCTCTCCTTTCAATTGTAAATCTACCAAAGTCGAAGATAGAGGCTTTGAAGGCACATCTCCAACATTCTCATCATCAAATAAAGTCTCTAAGCATTTCTTTGACTTTGTCTCAATTTCAGACCTTGATCTTGACTTTACAGCATGTAAAACACTTTGGGTTCCTAAATCACATTCCTGAAAGATGATATAAGTACGTCATTAATGGATTAAAATAGATTCAAGGCTGATTATAACTTACACTAATTCTTGTACAGTCTTCCAACTCTTTTCCAGCAAAAATAATCTTCACCTGTGAATAATTTTTGTGTTATTAAGTGGTATAAAGCATGATTGACGAATTAAATGTACCTCATCCGGTGAAATTCCTAATGACGGTGCTACTAATCTCTTTACATTTGAAATATTCCATTCTGGATCTAAATTAAGACTTATCTGTTTACCCGTATTGGTTTTAACGAATATTGGAAGCTTATTTGATATGCCTTTCCTTCCAAAAGAGAACAATTCCAACATTGCATCTAAAACAGCCCTAATAAAATTTATTATAAAACTCATAAAATTATTTTTTGCTATTTTTTGTAAACAATGAAGTGTTTTCGGATAAAAAAGTGATAAGTCCACTTAGTTTTGTGAATTACAATTTTGTAGAGCTTTTAGTATGTTTAATTTGAATTCAAAAGATGTTTCAGGATGAACTGTTTTGGAGATAATTCACTTTTGGACTAAGAACTTTTGTAAATTGAAAGCAATTTGTCAACAAGATTCATATGGTTCGTTTGGAATATTTTTTAACCGTTATTATCTGAAAATCTTTTTAACGATTATGAGACTTACCAAAGCTGCTTGATGATTATTAAGGGTAAACTAGTTATAATCAACAGATCTGCATGTGAAAAATTAAAATCAACTTTATATGCACAAAGATATTCCAAAAACTAAGCATAAACTCAAACGGCTTAAACTAATTCAAAAGTGTTGAGCAATCACGCACACAATCAGTCACAACTTACAGTAAATATCGCGATCATCGACGGAAATCTTAATAAAGCAGTTCAGAATGGTAATTGAGTGTTAATTAATCCATAAATCAACATAATTTAAGTCTTATATCCATATAGATTCGTCGTGCAGCAAATTCAATGCTAGTTAATTCTTTAAAACAGCATCAAATAGCGTCAAGCTCAATTTTTAGACACATGACGACATTATCAGAAAATGATAATGTTCTGGTTAATGAAAATGGTACAGCCGGTGTTATTACATTGAATAGACCAAAAGCATTAAATGCAATCAATACCGACATGGTTAAGTAAGTCTTGTTACATAAAAAATTCTATTCCTCAGTTGTTCTTGATAAGTCAATTAAGATATTTATAGAAAGATTTATGCGGCAATGAGAGACTTTGAGAAACGAGATGATAAGAAATTGGTCATACTTAAAGGAGTTGGTGAGAAGGCATTTTGTGCTGGTGGTGATGTTAGAGCAGTCGTTGAAGGCCCAGTTAGTGATGGGAAGGAATTCTTTAGGAATGAGTACAAGAATAATGAATTAATTGGCAATTTTAGAAAACCTTATATCGCTGTTATCGACGGAATCACAATGTAAGCTATAGATCGTATGGAAATTGCGCATTTATATGTGCAGTATAACTTACTACCACAAAGAAACTCCTCACATTTAGTGGTTTTAGTAGACTGATCATTGTTTAATGCTTGAATTTCTCTCACTTGATATTTCTAGGGGTGGAGGTGTTGGCTTGTCAGGTATGAATTCTTGATGATGTTCTCGATGAAAAATAAAATAATAAAAATTCCCTTACAGTCCATGGAAAATACAGAGTTGCAACGGAAAGGACGTTATTCGCTATGCCTGAAACAGCTATCGGACTCTTCCCTGATGTTGGTGGTGGATATTTCTTACCAAGAATGGAAGGAAACATGGGATTTTATCTCGGTATAACTGGATTTCGATTAAAAGGACGTGATGTTAAGAAAGCTGGAGTTGCCACTCATTTCGTCGAAAGTTCAGCTCTTGAAGAACTGGAAACAGAGTTGGGAAAGTGCAATAATTCTGATGAAATTGACAAGACTTTAACAAAATTCGAAGGATTGTTTAAGGATACATCCGAATTCATCCTTCAACCACATTTAAAACAAATCGAAAAGGCTTTTGGTGGTGATACAATGGAAGTGATATTAAAGAGACTTCATTCTGATGGATCCGAATGGGCTATGAAACAATTAAAGACAATCAGCAAAATGTCACCAACGAGCTTAAAAATTACTTTAAGACAGCTCCAACTTGGCAAATCAATGACCCTTCGTGAGTGCCTTCAAATGGAATTTAGATTGGCTGTACATTGCTGCATCGATAGTGATTTTAAGGAAGGCGTTCGTGCATTATTAATTGATAAGGATCAACAGCCAAAATGGAAACCAAACTGTATCGAAGATGTTACACAAGATCATGTGAATAAATTCTTTGCACCGTTGCCTGATAATGATGAGCTTGTTTTTGAGACATCAGCAAAGTTGTAAATAATTGAGATTCCTTTAAGGAAGGCGCATTTTAAAAGTGAAAGTTAAAGATTTATATTAAGTACCTATACAATTTGAACTGCATTTAATCCATTGCATTTATTTTTGAAAAATAAAGAAGTTGAAAACTGCTCGAAATTATTAAGTTTGTTGCCTTTTTATTGCTGATTATAAGCATATTAAAGTTTCAGTAGGTAAGTCACTTATCAAACTGCCTATTTTATGCTCCCATGTCCTAGTTTTTGATGAAACTACAGCGACAAATGAATCATTGCCTGTTCCAGAATTATCTAATTCTTCAGAATATCAAGAAATTTTGACGCAAAGTAAAAGAACCTTGGGATGCAGCCTAAAAAGGTCTGACCATCGGGCCGAAAGATTCTGTTCATTTATAATAATTGGGAATAAATGCCTTGGAGTCATTAAATAAAAGTAAATCATGTCTTAAAGGTAAGATTAAAATTCAAATTAATTCATTATTCTACCGATTTTTATAAAAATCGTCAATCAATAGCTTCAAAAACAATTAGGTCGTTGATCTTTGAAGAGCCATTGACTTAATAGCTGATAAGATTTCGAAGAGTCTTCCAATTACTGATCAAGTTTTAATAAAAAATTAAAATTTATTGACACATTCTTAAGCTTAATTAATTAATCTTATAAAGACAAATCAGTAAAAAACTACAAAGTTTATATTATAGGAAATGAGATGATGAGTTTTTCATGCATTCGATGTGTTTACCTAAGTTAATTATCATTTTTAAGGGGGTGTGAATTTTATGGATCTAAATTTAACTTTATTAATTTAGAAGCTGCCTTAATTTATCTTATCTTACTCAACTCCTTATCTAAATCCAGCATCGTCACACACCCCAATCATCACTAAATGACACAAAATATCAATGAATCTTTTCATCATTAGCAATAGTGTTGCAATTTTCATCCTCAAGATTCGTTGTAGGCACAACCATGAAGAATAATTGGATAAATTGTGTAAATTCATCCATGATTCGCGGCCTTACTTTGTAATATACAAAAGGTACATAAGCAAGAACTCCACTTAGTATAAATCCAACGGCACTTAAATATTTTATATCTGGTTCATCAATTAATGGAGTAAGAACAAGGAATACTGATACACATAATGTGATTATTGGAAGAATGATTGGCACTTTGTAAGATCGTTCAACATGAGCGTGAGTCTTTCTCATAACTAGCAGGCAAACGCATGCTGTTCCATAGAAGAACCAAATAAGGAATGATGCAAATTCAATTAATGCACTAATATCTCCAACTGATAAGAATATGACTGATAATACACCCTGAAGAAAAACTGCTGGTGCTGGGGTATGTTTCTTGACGTGAATGTATGACAGCGGTTCCAACATGTGACCCTCTGTTGATTAAGAATTGAATTGTTTGAATTAAGAGTTTTGAATATTAAGCAATAAGTTACCTCTTCCAGCAACAAAGCATAGCCTTGTCACACCAAATTGTATACTCATGGCACAACCTGTAAACCGAGTCATTCATTAATCCCGATCTTCCAAGAAAATCTTATTCAAACTCACCAAAAGTCGATAGAGCAACGCCGATTGGAATTAAAAATCCAACAGGTCCAAGAGCTTGCTCTGCAAATGAGATTCCAACAGCCGCTGAATTTATCATTTCATCTTTCTCTAGCACAGCCATATAAGCAACATTCATGAACACATAAAGTAAAGTGACTAAAGGCACAGCGATCAAAATTGATCTTGGAATGTTCCTAAATGCAAAAGATCAAATTAATTAAGGCATAAATCATGGTTAAAAATAAAATCTTATTACTTGTGTGGTGATTTGATTTCCTCAGTAATTGTTGTCACACTAGACCAGCCATCGAAGCTCCTGTAGATGATTGAAATAAGAGAATTAAGTTACAAAATACGTTAAGTCATTGTTTGTCATACCATAATCCGTTATATAAACTAAGTGAGATAAATCCAAACTTTAAATTGGTTCCCTCAAATCCAGACTGTAAATTAGATGTTTTGCCAAGGATTAAATGATAAGCACCGCCAGCGATAACGATAAAGCATGCAAATACTTTTGCAAAACCAAAAATGTTGTTAAGTTTAACGTACAATTTTACACTCGTAAGATTTATGTATGTGATTATTGCTGTAAAGATATCGTTGTTTTAATAATTTATTAAGGATATCCAACACTGTAATTTACCTAATGTAAGAAACGAAAAAAGTTTCACTAAATTTGATTTTTGATCAGCACTTAAATTTTCGAGGCCTAATATACTATGGAACGGCTGAATTGAGTATTCAGAAAATGTCAGAATAATAATTGCAATCTCTGCTGGCCTTAAAATCAGCACATAAACCCAAGCACACACGAATGCAGGCAATGGACCCCAAAAGTTTTTCTTTTTGCCAAATGCTTCCATTAAATATGCATATTCAGCACCAGATTTGGGTACGACACTTCCAAGTTCAGCAAAACAGAGAGCACCAATAAGTGATATGATTCCACAAATCAGCCATACTAGCAGACAAGCACCAACACTCCCGGAAAACTTTAAAGCATTTTGTGGACTTACAAAGATTCCACTTCCAATCATGACATTCAAGATGACATTAACGGCTGCTAAAAGGCCCATGTGCCTCTTTAATCCTACTTCCATTTCTCCTTTATTGTTGTTATCAATTGCTGTTGATCGACATAATCAATTAAGTTAATATCTTTTGGTTTACAGATTCGTTTTGTTTACTCACTCATTTTGATTGATGTAAGAGACACTTAGACAACACTATTATGTACTTAATTTAAAAGATTAATTAATCTGTAAAGGAAAAACTGTCGAATTAACTTCTGTAATGAAAAGTTGTAAACAAAGCAAAATTTACTCTGAAGTTTTTGATCATTTTATGATTAATTAAACTATAATTTAATATTGTTAAGAGATTTTCAATAAGAACAACCAAAAATTAACTGGTTTATACCTATTTCCAGCACAAATAAGTTTCAAATATTCATTTATTATTCACTATATTATGACATGTTATCGCATTGAATTCAGACACTCACTATAATTGAAATGATTAATTCTGAGTAGCGCTATCAGAGAATTCTATTAATATTATCAATCAAGGTGTCAAAGGTGTTTTAGGGGTCGATGATAAAGTATATTTGATAAAAATTGTCATTTTTAAAATAGCGAACAATAAAGCTTAAAATTAAAACTTGTTTGAGACCCCCAGAACCCCCCCCCCCCTTTGTGACGTCATTTATAAAAATTATTATCTGGAATTTGCGTTTGATTTATGCTTGTCTTATCGACAACACAGAATCCAAGACTCAACAGATGCTCGTTAATCATATTACAATTCATACTAGTGTAATTGACACCAAACAATTGTAAATTTTATTGCACTTAAATCATCTGTTTAAAACTTTTTGCTTATTCGTGAAATTACTCGAATTTTTGTCGAAAGCATGTAAGTCAAGTCAGCAAGTTTTAATTTATTCTAAATATGAAAAATTGCTTGTTTTACAAACTTTAAAATGTTTTTTAATCAAATTTAAAAAAAAGTTTAAAAGCATTCGTGAGAACACGAACTTCCCAAGATATATAAATTAAAGGAAATGAAAATGATTGAATTGACGCAGGTCTTGGTCTATTCTTGACATTTATAAAACTAGCTAAGAAGATTTTTAAAATAAACTTTTTACATTTTATGACTGTACAACTGTTTAATGAGCAAATATTATCTTTTAAATATAATTTAATTATTTATCGTCGCATCAGCGATTATTTATAGTGTAGCTATTATCATGTAAATTATTATCTTGCTGCTTCGGCTACCTTATTCCTCTTCGTTTCTCTTTTGTTCTCAAAAATATTTTACACTGAAAAATACTAAATTCTTATTTTCTTGCCTGTTGCTTCCAAATATATCATTTGCAAACATTTTTAAGATATTTTATCGAAAATATTCGCTGTGCTTCATAATTAAATAGCAAGCATGAAATCTGATTGGTATGGAGAGATGTTGAGACGCTTGTCATGTGCAAGCTTTGCAATTCTGCGAATTGACATTTTTTAATTAAAAATCAAGATCTTAAAAGAGATTAATTAACTTCCAGTAACCAAAATCGTTTAAAGTTTGCTAAACACAACAAACTTCAAGTAAGCAAATTGTGACTTTGGGTTCCTTTGGTCAATTTCGAATATGCTGATCTGTTCCACACGCTTGTTCAACATTTTCATCAAACGTTCTTGAAACTTTTAAAAACACATTTAGGGTCTGTTTATTTGTTTATTACGTCCTGAATTGTTTTTGTAAAACCTCTTGTGTCAATATTCATCATGTGCTTCCATTAACTGCGTCATAATCTTTTGTACTTTTGAAACAGACAAAGTTTGACGTAGAAAGTCATATTCCCATGTTAGAAGTAGTAATCTAGTCATCCAGTCAACCTTAGATGCCAAAATCAACCCCTTTTTAATAAGAAACAGCGCAGTAAAAAAACATGCTGTAAAACTGCTTTCTTCTTATTTTTTTTCGTTCCTTTTCATGATTTCACTTCATAATTTTTTTTTCAAACTTTATATGCAAATATTTCATCTCAACGTGAGACACAATGGAGAGTATGAAATTATACCCTTAACAATAGAGGATTGAAATCTTGAATATTTGTAGAATTAGTCAGTCGGAATATCTTTGATAAAATAAATCTTATTCAAGGAGATTCCAGACATAAGAAGAGATAATGTCCAATCAGTGTGGTACAAAAGGCTTTGATGCTTTCGTTTAATGCGTTATCTTTTACTCAATATTGACAATGAATGTATGAAACATGTGTACAATTGATAAAAAACACTACGAATATGTTTTTATATTTTTTCAAGGTTGTCAATTGGATGAATTTTCGATTGACATACAAATTTTGTAGGTGTGTGAAAATAATTATCTATAATTTTTTTGGTGATGACCTAAATTATTTATTCTAGCAGATTCTTATGAGAATGATTTGAAATGCTCATGTTTAAGTATTACTTTGGAGTTTCTTCTGTGTAATACAATTGAAAGATTCTATTATTCGCAATGTAGTCTTATGAGAGCCTGGTAGAAAATTTATCGATAAAAAAAAATCAGAAAATCTACAATTGCTCATTTAAATACTGCATATATCTTTAAATATTATATATTTGATTTTAAACGCGGTTTGGTCAGCAAGGCTCAAACGCTTAATTTCTTTATTCAAAAAAAAAATGTTCAATTTTTACAATTATCACTGTCTGAGCCTTGAAACTCAGATATTTACTAAAATTGCTTACTTCAAGTGTCATATTATGTCCGGACAATAAACAATAAACATTGACCATTTGTAATTTTCTAAGAAATTTACATCAGATTTTGGTACATTTAGAAAGCGACAATGACTTGAGCACAAAAATAAATGAACCAAAAAACTAGTTTCACGCATTAGTGACTCAAAAATCAAAGCATATTTTACTATGTTCAACGTGGTCAGAAATTAAATCAAATCATTTTTGTCCAGATTCTTTAAAGAACCAAGTGCAGAAGTGATTGAAAAACATTTTATTGCATTTTTATCTCTTTGTGGGAGTCAAATCAATGTTCTTTTAAAATAAATAAATAAATCTCATTTCTGCTGATTTTTTTTGTTATCAGCTTGCCACATAACTTATGAGTTCACGTCAAAATGATCAGAAAACTTGAATGAAAAAGATTCTAAATATTCGATGCTTATCAGTACCTTAAAGCATTTATTCCAAATCGATAAATAATCCTTTTATAAAATGTATTGGAAGCAGACAGATTTAAATTTAACACAAAATTCAGAACGATCGCGCGTTTATTTTCAAACAGCAACAGGCACTACGTCTCTTTTCGTTCAGTTTTAAATTACTACTGATTATAAAAACTGCTTCAACAAAACACAAAAAAACTCTCAAACAACACAAAAAAAAATTCTCATAAATTTCTTTTCAATTCATTTTAAACTTGAGTACAAAAGACTCAAAAGAGAAGCAGCATAAGTTTTTTTTTGTTGTACTCATTTTTTTTTTGTCAATTATGGCGAGAAACATGAATAAGATTATGATTGCATCAGATTTTTGTTGACCTATACTAACAAATAAGATGCCATATGATTTTAATAGATTAAAGTTCCATTGAAAAACTTATTTTTTAGAAAGATGCTAGGCTATTTTTGATAACAATATAATGAATATTTTCTTGAGGTTTAAGATTGTGAATTTGAGATTTAAACTTTAATCGGATGGCTTTAAATTTAAACAAAGGATTTATTGGGTTTATAATTAAATATGAAGTGAAACAAATATCTAAAGAGAGCTAAAGGGGTTTCAAGGACAAAACTAAGGAGAGGGTTCAACCCTCTTCTCTTTGAAAGAGGTACGGGTCGGAAGGGGAAGGGGGGAACGGAAAGAGCTCTAAAACAATAGAAATTTTTGGAATTCCATTGATTGTTTTTTTATAAAAAAATTATCGTTATTTTTCAGACGTCATTTATGAACAATCTCTTAGGGGCCATTCACTTATTACGTAACGCTTTTAGGGGGAGGGGGGGTCTAAGATTTTGTTACGGTTCAAACAAGGAAATTTTTTTTTCATACAAATTTTGTTACGAGGGGGGGGGGGTCTAAGAAGTCATTTTTTCGCGTTACGTAATAAGTGAACAGCCCCTTACCTTAATTAAATATTACCAGCGATCGAAGCCGATTTTTTCGGCATAACTCAATTTTTGATTTTTTTGATAGAAAAAAGCCATTTGACACCCATTTCAAGTATTTAAATTGAACTTTACATGCTTTACTACAATTCTGTGTAATATTTTGTCAGCATGTAGCTATAGTGAGCTCAGAATTTCAAATTAGCCGATGTTAAGCCGATCGGCTTAAATTTCGGCTTAACATTCTTTAACTTGAAATTCTGAGCTTACTATAGCTACATGCTGAAAAAATATTTCACAGAATCATAGTAAAGCATGTAAAGTTCAATTTAAATACTTGAAATGGGTGTCAAATGGCTTTTTTCTATCAAAAAAAAAAATCAAAAATTGAGTTAAGCCGAAAAAATCGGCTTCGATCTCTGAATATTACTATGAAGAGGATCCTTAATTTTAATAAATATTATCGAACAGTATTTTCTGAAACAAAACAACTATTCAAATCGACTTCTGTTTCCCAAAGTGTAGCACATTGATTTTCAAATAAAGTGTAGGAACCCCAATAAAAAAGAACCTCTCAATATGAATTTATTTTTTTTTAATTTTAATGTTTTCAGCATAACTCAAACAATCATCAGAAATTCATTCAAAGTTTTTCTTAGTCATATGATTCTATAAGCTTTTAAAAGCTTTACACTTCTCCTATCTTTTCTTTGGTGGAGAAAAATTTCTCCAGATGCTTTCTCCTTATGAATATGAGATTTTCCCCTTAGTTTTGATGACTCAAGCTTTGTTGATGTAATTAAAGATTTTCTTCTCAGAAAACTTTCTCGCCGACAAAGAATGACTAAGAAATTTGAATTTATGCTTGACTTTCTCTACAAATACTTTATTGTCAGGCTGATGCAAATCCATGCCACTTAAATTTTCAAATTAGAAACATTACGTAAAAATGCTCACATGATTCACCCTCATTTCTCCTGTAAAGTTGCTCAATTCTCCTTCATTGCTCAAATTCTCTCAAACTTTCCCTCATTTCATTGAGCTTTGTATGCCATTTCTCCTTAATTGCTCACTTTTTGTTGCTTACTTCCCCTTCAAGGATTCAATTCTCTTCTCACAAAAAAGTATTTTGTATTAACATTCTTAGTTTGTTTGTAAATCTTCTTCGATGTAAACTTGACATTTTTTCGGTGTCGTTCATTCAATGTTTCTAAAATTTTAAATAAAGTCAAAAAAAAATTTTATTAATCAATCCCGAGCAGTGAAAATTAAGTCAAACATTTTTGGATAAGAGCTCTTTTGCGTGCATCAAGCAATTCCTCGGGGTAATAAGAATTTATTAACGGTGAAAAATCCGCCCAAAAAAAAAGAAAATAGTAATAAAGTGAGAAAAAGAGATTCTCGCGCGGAAAACTGTGTGGAAGTAGAAAGTACGTGTCAAAAGCATATTAACAGACAGCTTAATTTTTTAATTAATTTGATAAAAAAGGACGAGAGCGAAATTTACATAAATTTTTATTCCTATCGACATTCCCTCTTGTGTGTCTTTTTTGTATTTTTTAAAGAGTGTGAAAAAAAAAATATATCCAAGAATAAGTAAAAGTGCTGTGAAGGAATTAAAACGATAATCCAGTCGAAAAAAATTATTATCAATTAAGTGAGAAGCGTGAAGAAAATAATCTCGAGGATTAAAGTGCACTTAATTTAAGAAGACACATAATAATTAAAAATTGGATACATTCACTTAACCTCTAAGCGCTAAGCATTTTTACCACTTGACAAGGATTTATTTCATCTGTCAGTGGACTCAGTGAATTAAAAAAAATGTAAGTCAGTTCATTTAAAAAATATATAAAGACGAAAAATCCTTATCATTATGGAAATTAATTACATAATCAAATTGAGGCCATCAGCGGTATTTCGGTCAATTTTTCATGTGTTGTTAAGTAAGTGGCAACTTGTGTTTGTTGCTATTGGTTCATTTTTGAAATTATGTATACGTAAAGTGGACGAAAAATTATTTCTCGATGTCTTTGTCGCTACCAGCCCCGTCAATACATAATTTATTACATAAATCGAGCATTAGAACTTAGTTTTCAGGAAAAGTATAAAGAAGGAAAAGAAATGTATTTCCACAAATGCCGTAGCGTCTGTTGGAACTTTTTTTTGGGGAAATAGAAAAATGTTTTTTTCTGTGACATTCAATTATTGAGACTTCTTGTATTTTTGGAGAGAATCGATTTTTTTTCTTTAATATGTATTCAACAAATTCACTTGTCATCGACATAACTGTAGATGATAAATTATCATACCAAATATGATAAAGCAAATGATTCTTTAGATTGAAACTTTCTGCACCAATTGAGTTGGCAATTTATTTGCTTAAAATAATGAAAGAATTTCCAATTCAATCAATAATTTGACTAATTGGATTTTTTTTTGTACAGAAGATTTCTCAGAACTCATTCGAAAGTTTACACTCAATTTTGCTAATCTAAAATTCTCTTACGACTTGCTTCACGCTTCTGTTTGCTATTTCCAGCAAATGGTGTTGGAATGAAAATATTTTAACAATTACAATCTGCTTTTGACTACGAATTTCCAACACAAAACATTTGTGAGTTTATATAATAATCAAAAAGGGCACAAAAAGCTCTTACCGCTTATCATCGATGTAATTTACGGGGATTTACGTGAAGGCTGATAATTTTTTGAACATATAAGCCCACCCGTAAAAAAAGTATCGCAAATCTTGTTCAATAATCGTAATATTTACAGCATACAATGTAATATAAAATGGTTTAGTGTATATGAAATCCAATTATATATAGGAAAAGCAGGCATTATAAATGTTTGTATATTTCTATTCGGTATAAATTGGTAGTATATTATAGAGGAAATCTTATGGCAGTTATGATTAGTTGGATGAGGGTTAGTTTTTTTTGGGTAGATATTTGACAAAAAAATTGAATTTTGATAGGTTTTGACAGTTTGACATTACAAGGTTTGATATTACTTACACAATTAGGTCAGATTATGGATTTTTGATATAGTTTCGGAGATAAGTTATCAAAGAAAATCAAGTTTAAGTCTTCACAAAAAAAAAAAATAATATTAAAGGAACCTTAAAAACTCTTGACAGAGCTCTGCTAAGCTGCAATATAGATTTCTGCAATTGGATCTGTCTAAAAGTTGGCATCTCTTTTGTTTTGTCAACATATTTTGCTTTTGGCATTAAACCTTGCAATATAGACATAAAAAAGTCATTTAATCTGCCTAGCAAATTTGTTGAAAATCAGATCTGTTTGAAGGTTGCATGCAGAAAACTAAAATGATTTCTTACCATTCAGCCACATAAGTTTACCAAACATAAACTTGTATCCTGACATAAACAGGATTTATGTTTTATAGAAATAAATTGCTGAAAATATAACTTAGAAGTCTGGGTAGCTAAAAGTCGTGTAATTAATCATAAAATAAGGCCTATAAAATTGATTGATGGAGATGAGGTTGAATGAAAACTTAAAATTTGTTGTTTGGTAGAATTTATTGAGTTGTATAATTTATTTAAAATGTTTCCTATTGATCGACACATTTTGGTATTCATAGACGAAACTCTCAGATTGAATTCTATCCTGTTCTGTGCATGAAAAGGAAGTAAAATTATTTTTTTTATTAAAAATTAAAATAAAAGTATGGGGCCGTTTACTTATGATGTCCGACATTTAGGGGGGGGGGGTCTAGGATTTTGTGACAGTTCAAACAATTGAAATTTTTTTCTATAGAATTTTTGTGACAGAGGGGGGGAGGGGGGTTCTAAAAATCAGGTTTTTGATGGACGTCATAAGTGAACGACCCCTTTTCAGATTCTTGATTTCATAATGAGTCTACAATGAGACTCTTAACTACTTGAGTTAAACAGAGTTCAAGCATAATTCACTATACTTCAACTACAAACATTTTTAAAAAGCACTGCATCATTAAGGCACTTCATCCTGCTGAAAAGTCTTAACGAGTTTGTCAAAAATCCAATTTCTGTAACAAAAACATATTTATGAAGCACGTCAACAATCTAAAACATGCACCCTTCAAAAGAAGTTTGTTTTTTACGATTTAAATTCAATTTTGATAATACGATTTATTTCCTTTCCCAATATCCACCCCGAATCTTTTTTTCCAACCCCATCTCTTAACTTGATTCTCCAGGAATTCCTCATGTGTAATATTTTATGTTTCTTATCATCTAAAAAAACCAATTTGTTTTCATGTTTTTTATGAGCGTTTGTGTTTTTAGCTGAAAATTTAATGCAGAGTCATTTAAAATTCACATTAATAAAAGAAAATCAGATGGAAAGAATTCCTCCAGAATCATAAGTTCTCCCCTTTTTTAAAACTTTCAGTGAATAAATCTCTCAAACGAGAAGCTCTAAGCTTCCTAATTGTTGTGTTAATATTTATGGCATCTTCTTAGTTATTCATGTACCTTGAAACGTATTTTCGGCATTTCCCATTCCACAATGATACAGAATTTCGCACACCATTTTGGTCTTACACTTTCATTCATATTTTCTTCGTTTGATTCATTCTAATACAACGCATCATTCAACACGGAGTTCGGGGAAAATGGGATCATTCACTTATGACGTCACTTGTTTAAGGATGTAGTGGGGTTTAAGATTTCGTCAGAATAAAAAGAATCATTTGCATAAACATTTTTTTGGGAGTCTTAAAAAGTCCTCTTTTGAAAATAAGTCACAAGCAAACGACCCCAAATAAGCCGTGGAAGTAAAAAATTGCCCGCAAGTGGAATATTTCTAGTACTTTACAAGAACATTCACATACGGAAAAATCATTGAAAAATTTTCAATCTTCTTCGTTGTTGATGGAAGTGAAAGTTTTTCGGTTTTTCCCTCTCCATTGTTGACTGTCGTTTCATCCATCTATCTTTCACTCAGAGGGAAGCACATCAAATTGACGGCAGAAAAAAAAAGTTTTCATGAATTTCACTGTCGTAAGCGACGCATTTTAATAAGATTCTCGTTTCATAGTTGAGGTGTGTGAAGGAGGAATGGATGATTTTTGTCCTACCTACCAACCATGCTGAAAATCGCTCTTTTCCTCCTTTGTCATCATTCAAATTACTTCTTTTCTTTCTAAGAGAAATTTTTGTGCCGTCGTCAGATTTTCATTTTTTTCTGTTCTGTTCTTTTTTATTGCAAAACTTTTCACATCTTTTTCCTCTTTTGGTCTGATTTAAGGAAGGACTCTGTGTGTTGGTATTAGTCGATATTTTTTTCATATGTCTTCTTTTTTCGAAAATATAAGAAACTTTGAGGATGAATTCCAAAGTGATGGTTTTTTGAAGTTTTCATGATTTTTTAAGCATAAAACATTATTGTTATTTGTGTCTTTGTGTGGGCAGGAAGCCACGAGATGATGTTGAAGGATGGATTGTCATAAATTTTATCACCAAGTGAGGTTGTGAATTTGGAATGTAATGTGGGTTTTAGAAAATAAACATTAATTCAGAAGCTGGGGTAAGGAGTAAAACTCAAACCCTAATCACCGAAATTTCAATTGTCAAACCAACTTATAATCTAAGTTCAGACCACGCTATTGCAATAATTAAAAAAAAAAATACATAAATTTACAGTCAGTTGATGTACATGGATGAAAAATCATCAAGAATAAATTATTAAAGCACTTTTCGGTTAGCAGTCAACTCGTTTGGATGTACACACTTCAACTGACCATTGCATGTAGGATGTTTGAATTATTGACATAGAAAATCGATGATAAATTGCTGTTAAGGGTAATGAACTGCCATAGCTTGCTCGTACTCTAGTAAATGGAACAAATTCTTCAGAAATTGCTGTAATTTATATCACAATTTTTTTCTCTCATTTCGTACTTTTATTCTCTGTCTAAAAATGATTGTTATTTGCAGGAAAGCCTGCATTGTCTTTTCCATTTTTTTTATATGTTTCTCGTTCAAAGCACACACTAATTCAAATACGTTGCCTGCACAGTTTAAGGAAGAATCTTTTTTCTTGAAATCCCGAGCGGCACAAAGTCACACAAAAGCTTTACAAGGTTGCATCCATTTTTTATTAATAAAAGAACTTAAAAAACGCTTTTGATGGATCTGTGGTAGAGCTATTGCCATTTGTGCCACTCGGGATATCTTCCTCAATATTTTAATGCGAAAACTTTTTTTCTATTCTCCTTTTTGTCATTTGTTATTTCTTTGTGCATGTCTATCATAAATTTTTCTCCTTTTATTCATTGCTGTTGTTGTAAAAGTATAATTTTTTCACTGGAATGGAAGTAGGAATTAGAAAATAACAGGGGATTTGATTGCAATTGTTGAAAAAGTTTTTCAAGGAACTATTAAAACTGTATCAAGTCATGTAGAAATAATTAAAAAGTTAAATTGTTCTCTAATAAATTATTTTTCCCACCAAAAGTTCGATAAGTTCCATTATTCAGGATTGTGTTATATTGGAAGTAGATTTGAGGTTGAATACGTCAATCATGAATAATTTATTGTTATAGACAGCTAACAATGATTCCTTTTGTTAGTATTCGTGATTCATGAAATGAATTAAGTTCTGTCTTCTCCTTCCATGCCATGATATTCGAAAAATACATTCGACTATGTACAGAGATAGTTGAATTCAGTTAGGCAAACTGTCTAACATTGAGTTTGAAATGAATAGAGGGTAGGAATGAGATAGCAACATGTTGCACTATAAAAGTAACGAATATGACTAGTAAGTGTCTATTATTTAATTCTCAAAAGCATTTTCTTCTCGTATTTAATGTACTTAATATCATGGGAACTGATACAAATTTGAGATAATATGCCATTCGTAAACATTTTGATTAGTTGACAAGGGAATAAAACTCTAAGTGGATCAATTGTCAAAAAAATGCTGCCGCAATT